GTTGCCAGATTTAACAAATAAAAATGCAGGGCACCCAGTTCAATTTCAAATAACAAATAAGTTTTCAGTATATGTATGTCCCAAATAGGGCTTGGAATCACTTACGCTAAACATTTTATTATTTATCTGAAGTTCCAATTACCTGGGCCCCCTGTATTTTATCTGGCCACTCGACAAGACATCCAAGGGCTTGCGCTGTGTCCCGGAACTGCATGGATCCAACACCCCGCAACATTCTCAGGCTTCCTGCGGGGCCCCAGCCCCGGCCTCCCACCCCTCCCCCAGCGGCTGCCTGGGCCTGCTCTCTTCACCGGACTGTGGACGGCCCTGGCCCTTCCCCCTCATTCCCCAGGGGTCCAGCTTCCGGGCTGCGATGGGTGACCCACTTTTTCTGACCTTGTGGGGAGAATGGAAGGCATTTGCAGCTCAGCTCAGAGCAGGAAACACACCTTACACCAGCGGCCAGACGGCCTGGGCCCTGAATTCCGTCACTGTGCTCCCACGTGTGGCATCCTCACCGGCACAGCTCCCCACAGACCCTCTTTCTGCCCCCACTTTCCAGGGGCTCAGCCCCTCCTTCAATCACCAGTAAACATCACCCAAACCCGTGTGAGTGTGTGTGTGTGTGTGTGAGAGAGAGAGAGAGAGAGAGAGAGAGAGAGAGTCCTTTAGCATTCTTTCTCACTTCTTTTTTGTAAAATATATTTTTATTGATTTCAGAGAGGAAGGGAGAGGGAGAGAAAGATAGAAACATCAATGATGAGAGAGAATCACCAACCAGCCACCTCCCGCATGCCCCCCACTGGGGATCCAGCCTGCAACCCTGGACATGTCCCCTGACCAGAATCAAACCTGGGACCCCCCCGGTCCGCAGGCTGACTCTCTAACCACTGAGCAAAACCAGCTAGGGCTCTTTCTCACTTCTTTTCCATCTTGATTATTTCTGAAGATGGTGATTCACTTTCACAATCGAATAGTCCTCCTGAAGCCAGACTTCCCGGGTTCTAATTCTGCCTCCCCACTTACAGCTGTGTGGCCTCGGGAACGTTACTGAACCCCTCTGCCTCATTTTCCTCCTTTCCAAAAAATGGGATGCTTAGCTCATAGGACTGCTGTGGAGATGAAGAGAGTTAATTCATGCAGAATGTCGAGAGCAGTGCGTGCTAACGTAACTGCTGCGTTTCATCCACGCTAAGGTGGACTCTTTTTTCTCATGTTTACGTCTCTTTCATGTTGTCTCAGAGCTGCTGGGAGTGGCTGTCACTACCTGTGCGTTCTTAAACTTGGTCAGGTAAGTTCCCCGCCTCTCCTGCCTACATCCGTTCAACTTAATTGCTATTTAAATGTCTTCAAGGAGGCTACGCTGTGGTTGCGCAGTTACACACCGAGTTATTGTGTATACACAAAGACAGGAAAACAGGAGCGCAGAAAGAATGTACTGTTAGTGAAGCAAATAGTTGCCATTGAAGAGCAGTTCCATATTTTCTTGCAAAACAACAGCCAAGTGTTTGAAGAAACCTAAGACAGGAACAGCCTCACAAGTAGATGAAGCTGTGGGATGTTTTATTACTGAGAAAAGGGCCCCATGACTGCCAGTCGCATGTGAAGCAGGAAAACACATGCGGTCAAGTTTACAGACGGAGTATCCGAGGCTTGGGAAGGAATTCCGGAAACAGCAGTGGGCCATCGCGTGGAAACGGTGCCTGACTGCACTCCTGACGCTCAGAGGATGCTGTGCAGAAAAACACTCGGGGGTCTGAGGCCAAGCAGGGCTTAGGGCATGTGGGCTCTGAACGCGAAGAAAATCTTCTAGGACCACAGTTGACCATTGAGTAACACGAGGATTAGGGGTGCCAACCCCCTGTGCAGTCTAAATCCACATATAAGTTTTTGCTCCCCTGAAACTTAGCTACAAATAGCCTTACTAATAACATAAAGTCAGTTAACACATATGTGTACGTTATATGTATTATATACTATATTCTTACAATAAAGCAAATTAGAGAAAAGAGAAAATGTTATTAAGAAAATCATACGGAAGAGAAAATACATTTACAGCATTTTTTTTTTTTTAAATATCCATATGTAAGTGGACCGGTGCAGTTCAAACCCTGTTGTTCAAGGCTCAATTGAATTTCAGCCAATTTCTTTTGCCTATAATTTCCTTTTTTATGCATGCATGCACAAGAGAGATTTTTGACTTAAAAACTGAGGTATCAATAAATAAAAAAGATTTCTTCCAATAAATACACAAAATAAAAATTGGTTTTAAAAAAGCATTTTCAGGCCATGTTCCTTTATTCGCTTCCTAAAACTATTTTTAATTGCTACAAAGTACCATCCTCCCCATTTTTAAGTGCACAGTTCGATGGTATTAAGTACAGCTCCACTGTTGTGCAAGCATTACCACCACCCATCTCCAAAAAAACATTTTTCTCATTTCGAGTTAGCCATGCATCATACAACTGATGGCACCATGGATGTCATAAAGACACCACATAGCGGTCCCTGGAGACAAAACGTCGCCCTCCCCTTGGGGGTGCCCCGCGGCCTGCCAGGAAGCAGGGCTCTGACCCGTGGCTTGATGGGAACACCTTCTGTCTCCCTGGCTCAAAGGCCCGGGCATGATTGGCACCCTCCCCGCCTCCCAGCCTTGGGCCCAGGCACGGACGAGGCCAAGTCAAAATCGGCCCCTCCCTCTGAATCTCTTCCTAGAGCATTAGCAATGCCTGAGGTTGGGAAGGGAAGGCTGAGAGCAGAGAACCAGGGTGCCAAGTAAGAGCTGTGCCCTGGAGAAGGAGAGGGGGGCCAGCAGGTCAAGGGAGGGGGGAGCTTTACCTGGAGGTATTGGAAAACTACTGGGTGCTGGACTCAGAGTGGGCAGGTGGAGGTGGGGAATATGGAGCTCGCATCCACCCCAGTCCTCAGCCCACCTGGATTCATCTCAGCCTCTCCCAGCAGGAGGCAGGGGTGGAGGGGGGTTATCTTCATTTGGACACAGTTGAGCATCTACCTGTGTGTTAGGCACCATTTTAGGCACTGGAAATACACCAGAGGACAAGCCCCATGAGAATTCCTGATTTGGGGGGGGGGGGTCATTTTCTCCTTTCTTCCTTCCCCTCCTCCTTCTCTTCCTCTGCCTCCTCACTAGCAGGATTCACTAGTCCCTCTATATATTTGGATGGTGCATTCTCAATTGCAAAATATTTCCCATTCATTATCTTGCTCCATCCTCAAAACAACTGTGGGGTGGGCAGCATTGCTCCCATTTTCTGAACAAGGAAACTGAGGCCCAGAGTGTGACTGGCAGCGAGGGGTGTGGTAGAATGCTCTCCGGGCTAGGCTCCAGTCCCAGCTCAGCCACTAGCTTGCTGGGCCACCTCCGATGAGCCACTCACCCTCCCTGGACCTCAATGACCCCCTGTGATACAATACAAGGGGTTCTGCTCTACAGTCTCCATCGGCCCAGATTTCCATTCCTGGGACTGGGACTGCATGGGAACCTGCTGGTCAGGAGGTAGAGCAGGGCCTGACCACACTCTGAGCCTGACCCTGCCTTTTCATCCCCAGGAAAGGGAGCAGGGCTGAGGGATTGGGAACAGTGGGGTGTCACATGTGTGGGGGGGTGGGATTCCAGACCCAAATGCCTCCTAGACCAGCCGTGGGCAAACTACGGCCCGCGGGCCAGATCCGGCCCATTTGAAATGAATAAAACTAAAAAAAAAAAAAAAAAAAAAAAAGATGGTACCCTTTTATATAATGATGCTTACTTTGAATTTATATTAGTTCACACAAACACTCCATCCATGCTTTTGTTCCGGCCCTCCGGTCCAGTTTAAGAACCCATTGTGGCCCTCGAGTCAAAAAGTTTGCCCACCCCTGGCCTAGACCCTGGGCTGGAGCAACATTGGTGGCAGGAAGTGGCATTGCCCGGTGCTGGGCTGCGTGGGCACCCAGGCCGGAGAGCCGCCTATCGGGCACTGTGGCCTCCATCAGCCTGCACAGCTCACTGCCTCTCAGAAATGTCCTCCCCAGAGCCCTGTGTGGCTCTGAGCTCCAGGGGGGACCCAGATTCTGTCCCAGCTTCTGGAACCCTAACATGTGATGAGTTTGGGGAGACTTATTCTCCTCAGAGTACGAATAATACTATCAATAATAGCTGGTATTAATTGATGGCTTACTGTGGGCCAGGCACTGCTTTGAGCACCGTATGTACATTATTTTATTTAATCCAAACCCCAATCTGATAAGGTCATTATTGTCCCCTTTTTACAGAGCTGGATGAGAAGGGGTTCACAAAGAGGGGCGAGGGGGTGCTGGAATGGAAGCCCGCAGCTGCCTGTCAACCCCAGGTTCACTCCATCACCCAGGGCCGGGGTCCCACTGTCACTGGAACCGCCCCCTGCTCTAGGCCGTGGGAGCTGCTATTTGGCTGGGATTTCAGGGAGGAGGTGACACTTAGTGACTTATGGGTGGTTGGCTGCAAGAAAGCAAGCACAGAAGAGACACAAAACCTTTGTGCCTCGGAAGGTCCGCGTCACAGGCCAACCAGTTGTTTTCCATCCCCTTAAAGAAGAAATAACTGGAGGTCAGATTGCAGGAAGAACTCCCCAGTCACTAGAAGGGGTAGCACTGACATCCTCTCCCCTGGTCAGTTGTGGGTGAAGCATTGCCCCTGCCTTGGCCAACAGTTTGAGTCAGAGAGAGGGGTTTTGGCAAATCTGCAGAATCGCCATTCACAGAGCCTACGGGGGCTGGGGAGGCCCTGGGGCAACAGCCCCGGGGTTAACCAAGGGGACAAACACGGAAAACCAGGGGACGTCAGCCCTTATCTGGAGCTCATTAATGGGGAACATTAGTCAGCTGTGAAGGCCAAGATGGGGTGATAGGCATGTGGTGGGCAGGGGTGGGGAGTGGGGGCAGGGGGAAGCCATAGGGATGAAGAAGTATTAATCTAAACTCCACCTCCGCCCCACGTGTCCAAATGCTGGATGGAAGGACCCTGTAAATGCCCATGACCCAGCCTCCCCAGAAACAGAGAGAGAGAGAGAGAGAGAGAGAGAGAGAGAGAGAGAGAGAGAGAGACCCAAGCCTCCTGCCCTGAGACAGCGGGGCCAGCTCCGAAAAGCTCGGCAGCATGTGGGAACTCCGGTCCATAGCCTTCTCCAGGGCCGTGTTTGCAGAGTTCCTGGCCACACTCCTCTTCGTCTTCTTTGGCCTGGGCTCGGCCCTCAACTGGCCGCAGGCCCTGCCCTCTGTGCTGCAGATCGCCATGGCCTTCGGCTTGGCTATTGGCACCCTGGTGCAGGCGCTGGGCCACGTGAGCGGGGCCCACATCAACCCTGCGGTGACGGTGGCCTGCCTGGTGGGCTGCCACGTCTCCTTTCTCCGGGCGGCCTTCTACGTGGCTGCCCAGCTGCTGGGGGCCGTGGCAGGAGCCGCTCTGCTGCACGAGATCACACCAGAAGCCATCCGAGGGGACCTGGCCATCAATGCCGTGAGTAGCCCGAGCTGCACCTCCTCCCCAGGGGCGGATGGGATGGAGGGAACAGGTCTGGGTGAGGGCCTGGGTGCGGAGAGAGACGGAGGCTGCGGGGGTGGGGGCAGAGGTGCTGGAACCAGGAACACAGCTGCCACAGGAGACCCAGGTGGAAGGAGCAACAGGGCCAGAGCTGAAGCCCATAGGATACCCGGTGCTGCTGGTACCTTCTGCCTTCCCTCGTGGAGGAAGAGCCTGCATTACAGTGAGGCCTGGGCTAGGACTCTGGAGGACAGGGCTCCAAAGTGGAAGTGCTTTCCGAGCTGGGAGGAACCTCAGAGTGAGTCCCGTGGGTCTTCTGAGGGGAGAAGGGCCCAACTTTCCTTCAGCATGCACTGGCCTCAGGCGAGGGGCTCCTCACAGCCTCGCACTGACACCTCGCAGCAGCGCTGCAAAGCAGGGATGGGTACCTCCTTCCTTGAGAATATGGAAACTGAGGCTCAGAGAGGGCCAGTGCCACAGCCAGGCTTCAGACCAGGCTGCAAAGCTCACGGTCTTCCGGCCTGAGCCATCACCTAAGTCTTGTTTTGCAAACAAGGAAACTGAGGCTCAGAGAAGGGAAGTACAAGCCAAAAGTTTTACAGTGTGTCAATCCCAGAGAATGTGCCAGAACCCAGGGGAAGCAAAGGGGCACTGTCTCTCTGGACCCTGGAGCCCGTGCGCTAACTGTTGACTTCATGAATGGTGGCTAGCCGGGCACCTGGATGCGTTGGGAGCTGAGGGTGATGCCGCAGCTCCCTCCATGCCCCCACCCGCTCCTCTCATGGGTCTGGGCAAGGCCTGGGCATCTGAGGGCGTGAGTGGGAGGAATGGTCCATGCCCCTCATCAGAACCCTGACTCCCCCCAACCCAGACCCCAGCCCAAGCCCAGGCAGCAAGTGCCTCTTTTGGGCCTCAGTTTCCTGCATTTGGGGGCCTGATCTGTCCCTGGGCCACTAGGTTAGAGCTCTGGTGTCTCTGAAGAGTGCTGCACAGTCCCTGTGGCCACCTCCTTCTTGGCATGAGTGGCCCTTTCTCATACGAGGGGCATAGGTATCCCAATTGGGGAGCTTCTCTCTTCTTACTTCTTCCGAATGGACAATGAGATGGGGCTGGGGGCTCAGGGCTGAGAAAAGGCTAGGATGGCCTTGGCAGGGGACAGACTGAGGAATGTGACCATTTCCATTGAGGACAAAATTGGTTTAGTTGGCAGCGAGGAGAGGTTCACTTAGACCGAAAGAGCAACTTCCTGAGAACAGGGCCAAGAAAGTCTCAGGATGTGATTAAGGAATCTCCTCTAATAGCAGGACGACGGGGCTGCTAAGGGGGCAGGGAGACTCTCAGTCTTGCTCCTCCATCATGTCAGTGTTGACCGGAGCCCTCAGAATGGAAGGGTCTGGGAGGTTTTCCCCAAGGTTATTACTACCTTGGGGAACTGAGGAGAACCCCGCCTGGCTGGAGGGACGCAGCAGTGGGGCTGACTTACCCTGAGGCTAGAGGGAGCCAGAAGACTTTAAAGTTGTCCCAGGTGTCTTCTGAGGTCCCTAGAAAGGCTAGCCTGGTCACCAGGGAGTTACCATTGATGTGCACCTGCTCTGTGCCAGGCCAGATATCATCTCATTCTTGGTATAATGATGTAAGGTGAAATCTGTGACGCTCTACCATGAGTGGTAAATTGAGGCTCAGCATTCAACTGATTCCAATCACAGAACCAGTAAGTGTCAGTATCTGGAAATGGACCCAGAGCCATCTGAGACGTCCACACCGTCTCCCTTCAAGCAGCCATTTACCAGCAGGAATGGGGCTGGGGCTCTGCCACTGTCGATTCCAGTCCTCACACAGTCCTCCTGAATTTTGTTATCCCCATTTTACAGAAGGACAAACTGAGGCTGAAGTAAATAGGGGCCCATGGTAAGTCAGAGGCCTCCAAAGTGTCTGCCTTTAAAGTGCTTTTCACTGTCTCCCATTACAGGCTTTGACATTGGGTCACAGGGGATTGAGAATAGGCCCTAGAAGACCCAACAGTGACAGCCCAATGGCTAGGATCCAGGGGTCGGGTTTCAAGGGCTGAAGAAGGGGCATGGGAGGTGAGAGCTGTCACAGCTCTACCTGGTTCAGTGCCCAGCCCCAAAGGGCAGGGTGTAGGGCACAGAATGACAAAACCCAGAGAGAAATCCAGTTCTGGGTGTGGTCCAATTATGAAATTACCTCTTTGCTTGGCCTCAAGTTCTCTCATTGCCCAAGGCAGGGTCTGCTGGGGTCACGGGCATCCCACATGGGCATGGAGGCATCACAATGTAGGGCTCCAGCACCCTCACCTCAGCTCCCATGGTATGTGCAGGGAGCAAATCCACAGGGCAAAACTGAGGCCTGGAATGCAGTGGGAAACAGGCAAAGTCAAAGGGAACAGTCAAGGGTTAGAGGAAATTGTCATATGATAGACTTGTGGGGGGTATGGGGCACAATAGGACCATCCCCAGACCCGAGTCCCTGTCCCCGGGAGCCCTTTGACCATAGGCCTCTGGTTACATCAGTATCTTATGGCCTAGGGAGAGAGGAAGGCTTTCCTGTTACCTGGCCTAAACTTCCTGCTGTATTCAAAACCTTTTATCTTCTTGCTCTTCAAGAAACAGAAATTTTAGCTCAACCAATATGGCTCAGTGGTTGAGCATCAATCGATAAACCAGGTGGTCATGGTTCAATTCCTGGTCATGGCACATGCCCGGGTTGTGGGCTCGGTCCCAGGTGAGAGGCATGCTGGAGGCAGCCAATCAATGATTCTCTCTCATCATTGATGTTTCTATCTCGCTCTCCCTCTCCCTTTCTCTCTTAAATCAATAAAAACATTTTAAAAGGAAAAGAAAGAAAGGAAACAGAAATTCTGGATTCCCCATCCTTTTCCGCTCACATTGTAGGCACACAATCCCAGCCCCAGAATCTAATGGGCTATGGAGCATTTTTCCTACCTCTAACTGGGGAATCACCGGCCGTCTTTGAGTCCATCCCTTTGCCTTTGGGCCACGGGCCCAGGAGGAAGCCATCAGTCGTTTGGACTAAGGTGGCTGGTGAGCCCAGGTGTTCTGGCTCCCAGCCAGCCCAGAGGCTGCTCTGGAGTCTTGGCAGGACGATGGAGCCAGTGCGGGAGCATGCTCACTGTTCCCCCGCTCTGTCCTCAGCTCAGCAACAACACGACAGGTGGCCAGGCGGTCACGGTGGAGCTCTTCCTGACCCTGCAGCTGGTGCTCTGCATCTTCGCCTCTACGGATGAGCGTCGCGGAGACAACCTGGGCACCCCTGCCCTGTCCATCGGCTTCTCCGTGGCCCTGGGCCACCTCCTTGGGGTAGGTCATGGCCTCAGGCTCTCCCCCAAAGAAACAAACACACCCAGAGACCACTCTAGAGACAGATACACCGAATCCCCCCCAAAATGGCAGACAAAGACCCCAGAGGGACAGATACAGACTCTCGGGAAGGACAGACACACCCCAGAGGGTCTGACTGCCAGATACCTAAGGCCAGCTATCACTCCAGTTGCAAAGGAATAGAGCCCAGGAAACAGAACATGAACTTCATTGCCGGCAGGGTGGACTCCCCTCAGGTTGAGCTCAAGGTCTGGAGAGGGGCACAGGACGCCCTGCCCAGTCCTCCCCGCTTCTCTCCCTCCCCTGCCTCCCACTGCAGATCCACTACACCGGCTGCTCCATGAATCCTGCCCGATCCCTGGCTCCCGCTGTTGTCACCGGCAAATTTGATGACCACTGGGTAAGGGCAGAACCCTCCCGGCCTCCCCCCACCTCCCCCAGAAACCCATCTTAGCCCCTTAGCCCCGGCGGGAGCAGGCGGGAGAGGGGGACCCCACACCTTCCCCCTGGTCCCTGGGTCCACCCTGCAGGGCTGACCATCGCGCTCGGGCCTCACTGCCTTTGCGAGGATTAAGTGAGGTCACCGGTGCAGACAGACCCCTTGGTGCCTCCGGACCTGATAAACGGTCATAGTTATGCTGACACACATTCCTATTGGGCGCTTATGAGTGCTTAGTGCGTGCCAGGCCTTATGCTAAGTGCTGTGCAAATATTAGCTCCTTTGGTTTTCACAGCAACCCTGCTTGGTATTACCGCGAAAGGAAACTGAGGCGCGGAGAGGGTGACTACGGCGTCCAAGTCACCCAGGCAGTCCGCGGGGAGTCCGCACCCGGAACCCCAACTCTCAGGTCGCCCCCAGCAGCCCCCGTGGTCGTTTCTAATCACAGGACACGCACTTTATACCCGCGTGCCGCCCGGTCCGCACCCGCGGCGAGAGGAGCAGGGCCCCGCGCCCCGCGCCCCGCGCCCAGCGCCCTCCGCTCCCGCCCGCAGGTCTTCTGGATCGGACCCCTGGTCGGCGCCATCCTGGGCTCCCTCCTCTACAACTACGTCCTGTTCCCGTCCTCCAAGAGCCTGTCGGAGCGCCTGGCCGTGCTGAAGGGGCTGGAGCCCGACACCGACTGGGAGGAGCGCGAGGTGCGGCGGCGGCAGTCGGTGGAGCTGCACTCGCCGCAGAGCCTCCCGCGCGGCAGCAAGGCCTAGGCGCCCCGCCCGCCGACGCCCGGCCCCTGGCAGCCCACCCGCCCCGCCCCGGGTCCAACGTTGGCCCCCGGGGCAGAGTAGCTGCCTCCAGGGCCTGCGCGACTCCCAGGGGTGCGGGGGGGCGGTGAGCCTGGCCGACCCCGTCTGGAGGCTGCAGGCTGGAGAGCAGTGGACTCTCTGGCCCCTTGCAGGGAGCTGGGGACGAGCTGGGAAAGGAGGGCGGGTGAGCGGGCAGAGGAAGATTCTGGAGAGCCTGTCTCCGGTAGTGGGTGGGGTTGGGGGGGTTCAGGCCCCATCTTGGGGGGTCTGGGAATGGGGTTTTGCTAGTGTGCAAGTGTGTTCATCCCCGAATGCCTCCCTGTCCCCAAGTATAGGGTTGTGCATGCTCTGAGTGTGAGCAAGCGTGTGGCGGGGGTGCCCGTGTGCACTGGCTGGCGGCCTCTCTCACTTTCCCCTTGGCCCCTTCCTCCCTTCCTGCAGTAACTCCACTTCCTCTGCCTGGGGCCAGGGACCCTCCCCAGGCGCTCTAAGAGTGTGCTCCCTGGAGAAGGGAAGGGCCTGGAGGCCACTGTGAGAGGCAAGGACCTGAATTCCCTACCTGCCCCTCCTGGAAACTTTCCCTGAGCTCAACACTGGGCCTAAGACTTGTCAGGACCCATTGCTAGAGGCGGAGAGGTATCGACCAGAGAATGGCTCCCCCAGAAGTGACCCCTGGAAAAAAGGAAAACTGGGTGGCCAAGGACCCCCTTCTGCCCTGAGGGAGGATCTTTCCAAGGGAGGAAGCAGGTGTGTGTGTGTGTGTGTGTGTGTGTGTGTGTGTGTGTGTGTGTGCGCGCGCGCGCGCGCGCGCGTGCACCAACATGTATGCATGTGCCCCCACCTCCAGGGGGCTCTAGACCTAGAGATTAGCCTCCCACTGTGACAGAGAAAACAAACGTTCTTTGTGGGCCCCTGGCTTTTGTCTTGGGAGAGGGAGAAATTTGCAACTAGACACTTCTTGAAAGGAGACACTCCATTTCGCAAGTGAGCCCTCTCACCCAGCACACCCTGCGGCTGGCTGAGCAAGGAAGGCACTTAGGCATGAAACCACAGGCACTGGGCAACACCCCTCCACCACCCATCCCACCCAGGCCCCCGCCCCAAGCAGCAGCTCTTCCCCTCTCCGTCCCTCCTCCTCATCCCCAGTGCTCCCTCCCTCCAGCCCCACCATAGGACAGGTATTGTGGGGAGAGGAGGGAAGGGACATGATTGTCCAGGCAGAGGCAGGTTTGTGTCTAGAGCCCGGGCTGCTAAACTTCCAGGCCCGTGCATTGGCTCTCAAAGGAGATGAACTGGGATTAAGTGAGATGCTGCATGTAAAGATGCTGTGTGAACTGTGATTCCTCATACCATTATCACTCATTATTGAAATCATTTCACCATTTCTGCTTCCTGGGGCTAGAATGAAGAAGGGGCCTGACCCCCCCTCTTCTTTTTACCTCTTTTAGTTGGTAGTCAGAGCAGAGGAGAGCCCCGAGAACCCCAAGGTGCAGGCAGAAGGAGATAGGCTTGGGTCTGGCCCCTTCCTGGTCCAGCCTCTGAAACTCTCCTGACCTGAGTGCACGCTGGTTGTTGTCTCCTTTCTTTCTTCCCACCACCCAGACCATCCATTCTCTCCTTCCTCTCCAACCTGCTGCATAGCTACCTTAAGAATCACATCTTGAGCCCCTTCTGCGTGCTCTCTGATGCCTTCATGCTTTCGAGGCGTTTATATGTATCTGGACCACACTGCGCCAAGCACCCACTGCGCGCCAGTCTCCAGCCCCTTCCTGCCCTCCTCTCCCTTCAGAGGTGGACTGAGTTCCAGGAACATTTCTGTAACTGTGCCTGCCTCTGTATCTGTCTTCTTTGTCTTCCTTGACCAAAGCTCCCTTTGGGGTCAGAAAAAGGCTGCCCTGGGTCATTGGAGATGATTCTCCCAAACCCCCAGGGACCAGCCACTTGACCTCATTACAGGGGGAAGAGTCGAGTCAGAGACCACAGTGACCTCCAAGGCAGTATGCCTGGTAGCTGACTGTCCTCTGAAAGTTCAAAGACAGCAGGGCACTGAGCTGTGGGCCAAGCCTGGATGTGTCTCAGGCACTTCATCCCCACCCCACCTCACCTCACCCTGTCCCTTTAGAAGTTACCAAGAATTTCTCTTGATATCTGTTTCACTTCCTGGGTTTCATCTCCCTCAGAACTAAATGTGAGATCCCCACCACATCTAGCCCTGATTGCCCGGATTGGGGTTCCTGAGGTCAGAGTTCAAAGCAGAATTCAAAGTGATGGGGGTGGAGGGGAACTGGCATCTGTTGGGCATCTCTTGTGTCCCAGCCTCTGTGCTGGGTGCTTTACATGCATTATCTCACTTAATCCTCCTAAAACTGCAGGCAGGTTAGGAAAGGACAGTGGCCCCCAACCACACGGGGTTTTATTTCCAAAGTACTCCCTTATCCCAACCCTGCGAGACAGGCAGGGCAAACACTGTCATGCGCCGTAATATGACATTTAGGTCAACAACTCATCACATATGCGACAGTGGTCTCATAAGATTATAGTGGAGCTGAAAATTGCTATCATCTAGTGACAGTCATAGCCATCGAAGCGTTGTAACATCATAGCACAACAATCACATGTTTGTGACGATGCTGGTGTAAACTAACGTACTGCGCCGTCAGCAGCATAAATGTATAGCACACACAGTTACTGGGTTTATACCATCCGGGTCTGTGTACGTTCACTCTATATGTTCACACATGACAAAATTGCCTAACGATGCATTTCTCAGACTGTATCCCCCTCGTAAAGTGGCCCATCCCTGTACTGTTCTTCCTCTTTTATGAACTGAAGCTAAGAAACAGGTCTAAAGTCGTGGAGACAAGACTTGAACTGAGGCCTTTATTCAAAACAAACCCCATGATCTTTCCGGTCAGAAGTCAGAGGAGACCAGGTCCGGTCTGAGGCAAGTCCTAGGCCGCTCTTAGAAGCCCCTGGCAGACACCAAAGTACGCAACTGAGCCCGCTCAGCCCAACCCTCTGACTTGTGGTGGACACAGGGCCGTGGGGAGGGCTCTGGCAGGGCAGGAATAAAACGACGAAGAACACGGGATGGTTTCTGTCCTTGAAGAGCACTCAGCGTGGAGGAGGGTGGAAGTCAGTCACATCTCAAACCAGACAGAGGCCGGGCAGCATAGAGGCGGGTGGCTAGGTCCCCAGGCTGGGGACAGAGAAGGCTCTGAGCTGAGCGGAGGAGGTAGCTGACCACTGGGTCCCAGCAGCATCCATTCTCATAGCCCCACTTTGTGCCAGATAAACACCTGCAAGTGTTGCTTTGATGTTTTGTACCTTTAAGCTGTATATATGCAATGCCTCCCAGCTAGACTGTACGCCCTACAGGGGCAGGGCTCCTTCCAGTTCTCAGATGGCATTCTCCTGTCTATCTTCATCCATCCGTGTTGTCTGGCACAGTGCCCTGCATATTGTAAGCTCAATAAATGCTCATTTGCAAATAAGTGCTCTTTCTTCCACAACTTAGAAATGGTCAGTACAGTCCAAAGCGCCAGCAGGCAGACTGGGGTCTCTGGCATGTCCTGGGCTCCCCAGAGCTGCTGTTAGGAATGGTGCAGCAAGGATTTCAATGCTCAACTAATTGGTAGCAACCTGGCCAGATGAGCATCAGGGCTCTGTGACACAGGTGGTACCGTGGAGAGGGCACCAAGACATGAGTAGGTTCTTTCCTAACGTGTGAAGGGTGGGAGGACCTGACTTTATGGCCTGCAGAAAGAGTAAAGAGCAGCCCCTTTTGGTCCCCTCGTTCTGGCTGTAGCACTATGTTGGAAAATCAGGGCAGGAACCTCCAGGGTCTGGGACAAACCTAATGCTCCACGTGTTCAAAACTGACCACCTGCTCCTCTCCAAACCTGCGCTTCCCATGCCCGGACGTATAAACCAGGAGGTCACGGTTTGATTCCCAGTCAGGGCACATGCCCGGGTTGCAGGCTGTCTGGCACAGTGCCCTGCATATCGTAAGCTCAATAAATGCTTTTGGATCCCCAGTGTGGGGTGTGCAGGAGGCAGCTGATCAATGATTCTCTTTCATCATTGATGTTTCTATCTCTCTCTCCCTCTCCCTTCCTCTCTGAAATCAATTTAAAAAACGTTTTTAAAAAAACACCTGCTCTTCCCTCAGTCTTTTCATCTCAACTGATAACAACTCCATTTTTCCAGCTGCTCAGGCCAAAAAGCTCATTATCCTTGACTCCTTGCTCTCACATGCCCCGTGAGCTCCATCAGAGACTCCTGTCAATTCTACCTTCACAGGGGATCCAAAATCCAGTCATCCTCACCTCAGGTCCAGGCCACCATCATCTCTCCCCGGGCAGGTCCCTATCAGTCCCCCTGCTTCCATTCCTGCCCCTCCAGTCTCTTCTCAACACCACAACAGAGGGGTCGTGTTGCAAACTTTGTCAGACCACATCGGTCCTTGACTCATTGACTTCCTTGATCTCTCAAGTGAAGCCAGCAGTCCTTTGGGGGGTGCACAGGTCTACCCACCTCCACCACCCCTGTCCTCACCTCCTTAAGCTTCCCCTCGCTCCCTCTGCTCCAGCAACACTGGCAGCTCCCTCTGCCGGGAAGGCTCTTCCCTCAGACATATGCATGGTGCTCTCCCTCTCCTCTTCCAAGTCTTTGTTCAGCTGTCACATTCTCCGTAAGACCCATACTGACACCCCTTTACAATTTCAAAGAAACTCCACTCCCACCCCAGCACATACCCTATTTTTCCATTGTACTTAACAGATGCTATTGTATTTTATAATCTGCCTATGTCCATTATTTGTCCTCTGTCTCTTTTCACTAGAATACTAGCTCCAAGAGGCAGAGACGTTGTCTGCTAGCTCATGGCTATATCCCCAGTGTCTAGAACAGTGCCTGGTACACAATAAATGCTCAATAACTCTTTGTGGAGTGAATGAATGACTATTTCCCAACACTGGGGATATGTGTAGCACCAGGGGCATCACCTCCTGTCAATTACCCTATCATGTCTACCCCCAGCCCTCCAGAGAACACAGCGGTCCCCATGTGAAGAAAGGAGAGAAGGCGCCCTCCCTGAGATCCTCTAACTCTCCCTGCCACGGATGGGGAGACCCATCTCCCAGCCCACAAAGGCCCCAGGGAGGCACTCCTCTGGGGCTGGCAGGGCAGGGCCCAAGTGCTCAGAGGAAAGACAAGTCCGGGACACAGGAGCCCGGGACCTATAGTTCTTTGTGACAACCTGGGGACCGAGTGACCCTGATAGAGAGTTGGGAGAGAGGGAAGGATTTCAAGCACAGGCCTAGGAAACATAACCAGCTGCCCCGTCTGAGCAATCTTAACAGCCAGGTCTCCTTCTTCAGCCACACCAGGCCCGTTCCTGGTGACACTGTGGGTCCCCTCTCAGGTCACGGTGTGACTCTGGACCTCTGAGCTTGGGTTTCCTCACACGGAGCTCAGAACCGAATCACACCATGGAGGCCAGAGACCTTGGTTCAATGGAAAGGACTGGGCCAAATCCTCAAGCAGTAGCTGCCCCTGGTGGCCAGTCTCCCAGGAGCACTGCTGCGTCCTTTCCACTCCAAGACACCTGTGTGCTCATGCAGACGGTGCCCAGGGAGAGAGGATAAGAAAGAAGGTGGAAGGTGCAAACTGGAGGCAAGTTCAACAGCCCTCAGAGTCTGTGGGGTTATCAGGGTCCTTGTTCCAGTCTGGGCGGGGACCACAACAAGCCCTGAGCCCCAAATCCTACCCACAGCTGCCATGCTCTGCCAGGAGCAGGGCCCCAGGACCCAAGGCAGAAAGGACAGACAGCCCTCCGGCCTTAAGAGGAGAGATGTGGGGGAGGAGCTGCTCCAACAGGAAGCACTGAACGCAGGAGGAACAATAGCAGGGTTTCTTCGGTCCCTGTTTTCTTTGGCCTCTTAGCTGCCACGGAGCCCAGAGCCCGGACCTCTAGGCCCTTGGCTTTCCGCCCGGCCCCTCCCCGTAGCCCCTGCCTGACAGACTGACAGAGGAGCACCTGTTCTTTCCCTCTGCTGCGTCTGCCACCTTAGCGCCACACAGAGCCTTCAGGGGGCTTTTTAAATTATAGTTGCAACATGAGGAAACTTGACTTAGCCTCACTCTGCGCCAGGCTCGGTGCTAACTGCTTCCCAGGGACACACAGGGGTGGGGGCTTGGAGGAGGGAGGTCTTCAGTGCAGCCCCTCTCCTGGGATCCTGAGAGTCATTCCCTGCCCCTCCTCCAAGCCCTGAGGGCGCTCCAGCCTCATGCCCCACATGCCTAACCCGGAGATAGGCAAAGGGACAGGTGGGAGGAATGGTGGGTAGCAGCTAGGAGCTCAGAGAAGGTGCAAAGACAGGAGGGAACTGGAAGAAAGTGTCACCCAGCCCAGGGGTGGGAGGAACTGACTTTGAGGGCATTGAACAAGACCACGTGTAAGAGAGACAGACATAGAAATGAGGTAGAGACAGACAGAAACCAAGAAAGTCACGGAAATTAAGAGGCAGAAGAAAGGTGAACAAGAGTCTAAGGCTAAGACTGTAAAAGGAATCGGGGGAGCAGAAATGGAAAAGAGAAGGAGAGGGGGAGAGAGAGGGAGAGAGACTAGAGAGAAATACAGAGAGTCTGAAAAGGAGAGATGGACGGGGGTTTGGAGAAACAGACGGAAGGAGAAGCCGGGAAGAGGCAGAGAATGAGAGTGTGAAGGACAAGGAGACCAAAGAGACTGCGAGGGGGGTTGGGGGGAGGGGGAGATCAGAAGGTGGAGGAGAAGGAAAAGCTGGGATCTAGAGTGGGGGCTTCTGACAGGAAGGCGGGAGAGGCCAAGACCGGGCTTGGGAGGTCAGCGGTGCCCTGCACCCCACATCACACCCCACTCCAGCACCCCAAGTCCCACTGAAATCCTAACGACCAATCCCCTCCCGTCCCCTGTACAAAGTGACCCCCCAAGAAGGCCCTGCTGGAGGGGCTGGGACGGTTGCGGAGCAGAGGGCACCCCCCGGGCCCCACCGTCTCCTTCCAGGGCTGCCCTGTGGCTGCTGGGGTCCAGGAAGGCCGGGCGTGGGGAAGACTGGCACGGTGCCCGCTCTTCCCCAAACGCCCCCGCTCCAAGCCCGGAGGCCCGCCCGGCCCAGGCCAGGGAGAGGCCCACGACGGCCGGCCGGAAGGCCCTGCACCGCCCAACCCGCCGGCCGCCCCCGCCACGGGCGGCAGGGAGCGGAGTGGCGCTGTCCTCAGGGAATCGCATCACTCCAACCCCGCCGGGGGCGAGGCCGGGCGAGGATGCCCGGGTCGCAGGAGGCAAAGGAGGAGCTGGACCCAGGGCCCGCGGAGGAGAAGCGGGAAGCCCGCGGCGGGGGGACAGCCCGGCGGAGGCAGCCGGCCGGAGGTCGGTAGGACGGGAGAGCCGAGCACAGTGTCCGCGGGGCCCGGGACAGACGGCGCGGAGCTGAGCGCGGGAGCCGCCCGGAGCGCGCCATGCGCGGGCCTCCCGCCGTGGGGCCGGTCTGCGCCGCCGCCCGGGTCACCTGGCCCCGACAGGTCGCCCGCTGCCCCGGCGGGAGAGCTCGCGGGGCCCGGGACGGCGGCGAGCCCGGGGCGGCCGCCAAGGTCCCTCCCTGCGAGCGGTGCTGGCCGCGGAGCGCGGGAGCCGCCCCCTGCCCCCCCGCGCGCGCCCCGGCCGGGGGCGCCCGCCCTCTATATAGCGCACCCCTGCGGCGCCCGCGCCAGGCCGCCAGCCGCGCACACGGCCCGGGAGAGCGCGCCGCGCCCGGGAGCCAGACCCTCGCCCCCCGCGCCGCCGCCGCCCCGACGGCCGCCCCCCGCCACCGCCCGGCCCCCACGGCCACCATGAAGAAGGAGGTGTGCTCCGTGGCCTTCGTCAAGGCTGTGTTCGCCGAGTTCCTGGCCACCCTCATCTTCGTCTTCTTCGGCCTCGGCTCGGCCCTTCAGTGGCCGTCGGCGCTGCCCTCCATCCTCCAGATCTCGCTGGCCTTCGGCCTGGCCATCGGCACCCTGGCCCAGGCCCTGGGGCCCGTGAGCGGCGGCCACATCAACCCTGCCATCACGCTGGCCCTCCTCGTGGGCAACCAGATCTCCCTGCTGCGGGCGGTCTTCTACGTGGTGGCCCAGCTGGTGGGCGCCATCGCGGGGGCGGGCATCCTCTATGGGCTGGCACCACTCAACGCGCGGGGCAGTCTGGCCATCAATGCGGTGAGTGCCCGGGTCGGGGGTGGAGCGGGGCGGCCTAGGCCCCGGACTCCAGCTCCAGAATGGATGCCGCCGTGTGGGCTAGAGCGCACCCGGGCCAGCAAGAGGAATACCCAGCCTGGGGTGTGCCTGCGCAGCCTTCCCGGTTTTCACCTTCCTCCTCTGCCGGCCCCTCTTGCTGCCCCTTGCTGGCCTCTCTCCTGGTGCCTACTGCCCCTCCTTTCTTGTCGGAAACTCCTGCTTTTCTCCTGCCTCCCCCTGAGCTCTGCCCTCCTCCTGCGCCCTCCAGCTCCTGTCGGTTCCTCGGTGGAGTGGTTTCATGGAACCATCAGGGAGAGGGGTTGCAATCTTGGCTTCTGCTGACCCTGGCCTCTCGGGGTCCCGTTTTTCTCAGCCATTGCAGGGGACGGGACGGCGGTCGCCTACCACAGCAGGTGTCAAGGGACCCCGTTTAGAGACCATGCATGTGAATCCCTAATTCTGCTCTAATGTGAGGGTCTCTGTTGCATATTGGTTCCTGTGCCTGGCCCCTGGCTGCCTCCCCCTCCCCAAAGGCCCAGATTTAGCCCCCATGTCCCATGCAAACTGGGTTCATTAGTCAAACACAGAGGAGGATTTTCTCGGCCATTGTCAAGCCGTGAGTCAGCCGCACTGGAGGGACGGGTTTGAGGTTGGCCCTGGCAGTGGCTCAGGCACGGGCGGGAGGTGGGCTGGGGGTGCAGTAGACAAACTGGGCAGCTGCCCACAGGAGGGAGGGTAAATGCCAGCTTGTGGGGGTTGGAGACTGGGCAGAACCGTTGACAGGGCTGTGTCAGTAGAAGCTCCCCTCATGCCACCCTTCGGCCATAGGCCTGCGCCCCAGCCTTTGTACGTACTGGGAAGTATGTAGTCTCTGTGGCAGATGGCCTCCCTGACTTACGTGCACTGGGCTGTAGGTGTCCTTGGAGGCCCTACACCCACTTCCCCAAGCCCCTGGCCATAGAGCCAGAAGGCGATCCTAACCCACTCTCCCCTTGCAGCTCAATAGCAACACGACGCCCGGCCAGGCCATGGTGGTGGAGCTGATTCTGACCTTCCAGCTGGCGCTCTGCGTCTTCTCCTCTACCGACTCCCGCCGCACCAGCCCTGTGGGCTCCCCAGCCCTGTCCATTGGCCTGTCCGTCACCCTGGGCCACCTTGTGGGGGTGAGCAGAGCTGCCATGTGGATGCGGTTGTGGGGAGCCCCTCAGGGCAAATAATGGGGCCCTAGAGCAGTACCTCTCTGGACCAGTGAGCCCTGCAGTTGGGCCCGGGGTGGGGCTGCTGTACCCTGTCCCAGACTGGAGCCCCCCAAACCTTCTCTGACCTGAGGGGAGATGGGAATAAGTGGGAGTTGAAGTGGGGGCAGGAAACCAAGCCCAAGCTCAGGACAGAGAAGAGAGGAGTGTGCACAGGGACCTGTGAGGGAGAGGTCACCAGCCTAGGAACTGGAGATCTTGAGTTGGAGATCTGGCCGAGCCCCTGGACTGCTGGGTGACCCTGGGAGAGTTGGGGCTCTGTGGGAGCAGACATGCACTTTGTCCTTCTCACCACCTCCCTCTCTGTGTCCAGATCTATTTCACCGGCTGCTCCATGAACCCAGCCCGCTCTTTCGGCCCCGCAGTGGTCATGAATCGGTTCAGCTCTGCACACTGGGTGAGTCTGGGCGTCCCTTGATCCCTGGCAGTGAGGGCTGGGACACCAGCTGTGGCTTCTAGCCTTTCTGGGTGCTGTGGGCCCGGAGCTTGGGGGTGGGCCTGGGGAGCAGTGGCTGGAGAGAGGAGGGGACACTGTAGGGAATAGGATGCAGCCAGATCACCCGCAGGGGTAGACTTATATGGACAAGGAGACCCTTGTTGGGGGTGAGGGGTGGGGGGACTATGTGTGTCTGTTCCTCTAGGTAAGTGAGGGGATCCCCTCCTCCAGGTTGATCTCTGAGGATTTTGTCTGTGTCTCTGGGAGTCTGTGTGTCTGTCTTCCCTGATGTTTTACTTACCTGCCCCTGTTGAGGGGTTGGGACAGCCTTCCTTCCCGTGGGTCTGTCTCTAGACAATCTGAAACCTCCTCTGAGAGCTCATGGTCTCCCTCCGGAGTCTGTCCCTGTCCCCATGCAGGAGGGAGAGGAGTTCTGTCCGTCTTTCTGAGGATCGATATGTCTGTTCCCTCTGAAGGCTCATCTGTCTCTTTAGAGACAGGAGTCCTGGCCTTCTGGGGATCTGGTCTGCCTCCTTTGAGGATGTGGGTATCTGTGATCCCATCTCCCTGAGATGGGAGAAAGTCTTTCTTTCTGGGGGTCTGGGAGTCCATATATCTGTCTCTTCTGAGGGTCCATGAGTCTGTCCTCTGGAGGCGGGGAGTGGGGGTCTCTGAGGCCTGGGGCTCAGCCCGCTGATGCCGTCTTGTCTCCCTCAGGTATTCTGGGTGGGGCCCATCGTGGGGGCTGCCCTGGCCGCCATCCTCTACTTCTACCTGCTCTTCCCCAACTCCCTGAGCCTGAGTGAGCGTGTGGCCGTCGTCAAGGGCACGTATGAGCCTGAGGAGGACTGGGAGGAGCAGCGGGAGGAGCGGAAGAAGACCATGGAGCTGACCGCCCACTGACCAGCGTCAGACAGGCGCTAGCCTCTCACCCCTGAATTGCAGGGGAAACCCTCCCCCCCCCAAAAAAAAACCCCATGACAGCAAAGCTTCCTTCCCCCACAGCGGGTCCTCTGGGCTAGGGAGGAGGGACTCGCTCCCCAGGCTGCAGTTAGAAATGGGAGCAGGAACCCATGATGGGACTCCTGGGGTGGGGCCCCGGGACTGCGGTCCGATGGGGTGAGGGTCTCTCTGAGACGGGGCAGGCTGCTGCCATGAGGTCAGACCTCAGAGATTGTGAACACAGCACTGAGCTCACAGGCCGCCCCAGGGGCAGGGCAGTAAGGAGTGGCCTGCGTTCTCCCTCCCCACCCTCCGGGCCCCTCCTCAGAAGCCAGAGGGTCCCAGCCCCGAGGATGGCAGAGGCTGACCCTCCCCAGAGCTCCTTCGGAGGGCGAGAGACTGGCTCACTAAATGCTGCCTTATTTATTTCTGCTTCTAGGTGCATGGGCTAGGGCTGCTGGGGTGTGGAGTGGGGGCTCCCCAATAAACCGCTGACGCCCATGTTCTGCCTCGTCTCTCCCCAAAAGCCTCTCCTTGGGACCCTGGCTCATCACTGCTCCTCTTCACCATCCCACACCTCCCCATGGGCTCCACAGGCCTCTGTGGAAAGAGAGCGAAGCTGAGCCAGGGGGGCCTAGAGTCAGAGATGGGGGTGGGGAGAGCAAGAGAGGGGGACGAGAGAGGGAGAGAGACCAAATATAGAAAGCGAGCTAGAGGTCACGAGGCGGCAGTGGGAGCAGAGAAGGAGGCATCCTCTTCACTCAACCTCCCGCCTACACACCCCTCCCACCTCAGCTATGTCAAGTCCCTGCCCCTTGAGGAGGGTGTGCCAGGCAGGGTGGGAGAGAAATGAGCCAGCCTGCAGCCCCTTGAGATGCCAAGGGGGTGACCAGCCAGGTCTGTCATCAGGGAGGAGGCACAGCCTGGACTCCCCTCTCTGCCCCTCCGTGTTCTAAAAAGGAGCCATGTTGGGAGCCTGTGCTCAGAGACAGCAGCCCTGCCCCACCACACACACACGTGTGCGCACACACACACACACACACACACACATGCTGCACTGGCCCAGCTCCCTTCTGGTCTCCCCTTCCCTGCCCCTGCCAGCCAGTATCCCCACCATCTTCCTCGCGGGGCCCACTGCTCTGCCCTCACTGGCTCTTGTCCCCTTGCCACTGACACTCCTTAGGGAACCCCTTAACCGGCCACGCCTCTATCTGTTAGGCTATAAAATGAGGATTAAAACTGCTTCCCTCACAGGTTGCTGTGGGGATCAGATGAGATGAAGGAATGAGATTCCTAGGACCGCTGCTCACTGTGGGAAAGGGTGGGATGCAGATGAGCAGCTCAGGACATGGCCCTGCATCAGAGTTAACGCGTCTGCTTGGGGTCCAAGAATTGACGCCGAACTTTGGGTAACACAAACCCTCCGAGTTTTAATGACCTCCTCTGTAAAGTGGGGCTACTTGTACTCATGGGTGGTTGTGAGGATAAAATGAGACAATGGATGGAAATAAAACCCCTGTGCGAAGAGGACCAGACACTAAGGGTGAGTGCTCGATAAACAAGTGTGAAGGGAAACCAGCATGTACACATCTGGGACCCTGGCCACCCCCAGGTCCGGCCTCTGCTCTCCTGGGAGGTTTGAACCTGAGCTCCAGCTTTTCTCTTGTGTGGGAACCTTGCTCCACAGTCTTCAGCTTTGCCTCAGAAGACGAGGGGCCAGTAGGGGTAGGAGATGGGCGGGGAAGAGGAGGGAGAGTCTACAGACCCTGCTGGCAAGGGTCAGTCCCAGGGGTTGGGGGCGAGAGCGGCAGAGTCCCCAGTCCTCCTCCACACTTGAGCCTCGTATCTGTGAGTGGGAGCTGCAGCCGCCTTGCCCTGCCCTGCCCGCCTCATCAGCGTGCAGTTAACACCAGTTATGCGTGTGAGAACCTGTGGAAAGGGGCAGCACCCCCTCCCCACCCCTCGCCAGCTCCGGCCTCCACCCTGTCCCGCCGTAAATGCCAGCTCCGACCAGCAGAGGGGGACCTCGTCCACCGAATGCACAACTGCTGCGCTTCTCGTCCGCGATTTCTGGGTCTGGGCTCCAGACGTGGGGGATGGAGGACACGGGGAGTCTCTCAGGCCTGGGTCCCCGAGGGCCACCAGGAAGTAGCTACTCTCAGTCCACCCCCACTCCACCATCCGAGATGGGATGCAGAAGAGAGGGAGTCCTTTCCCATTCAGGCTCCAGAAGACTCAGGTGCCTGGGAGGCTGGCCTCTCCCCAGCCCAGCAACTTGCGTTCCTTTCTCTGACAGGCGGGCCTGTGGGGCACAGACCCTCAGGGCGGGACGAGGCATCCAGTCCGAGGGAGTTCCCGGCCCGCCGGCGGGAGAGGGTCCACCTAGGCCTAGGGCTTTGGATGGACAAGTTGCGCAGTCGGGCTTTGTGGCCGGCAGAGGGCGCTGTGCTCCGTGGTGGCTGATCTCCACGCGCCGCTAGGTCCCGGCTCACAAAGACCTGCAGGACCCGGCACACACCCAGCGCCGCGCCTCCACGCTGACCTTCAGCTGTGCCGAGGGGCTGCGTCTTCTCGGCATGGGCTGCTCACTCCGTGCAGGTGACAGCCTCGCCAGTCCTCCTCCACTCGTGTTCTGGCTCCATGTGTTCCCCGAGAGGCGAACGTGTGTCACACCCAATCACACGTGCTCAGTCACCCCTGTGACCCTCTGCTCCACCTGAAGATGGGACCCAGGAAGAGCCTTGATTCTCCTCTAGGAGGCGTCCTACCCCTGCACTCCCCCTCTGCCCAGGGCTGCCAGGTCTAACCAGGTGGAAAGGTAGGCATGGTGAAGAGACGGAGGACTGGGGTGAAGGAGGAATGGACAGAAGGTTGGCTGTCTAGATGGATGGACAGGAGGGTTGGCTGGAGGGTCAGCTCTCTAGCCCCTCTCTGATCTGTTTCCTCCCCTGTCTGGTGCAGATGAGATCAGACTTCCTTACCTGCCACATTTTGGGGGGGTTGGGGAGATGATGTGAGGGAAGCTGTCTTGACTTCATCCCTTTCTGTCATGCGTTTAATGCCCCTCCTCTTCTCTCCTGATACCTTCATCCTTCTTGCTGCCCCATCTTCCCCCAAACCTGGTCCTCAGTCAGAGCTCACATTTCCCTCATGCATGTGCACGCACGCGCGCGCGCACACACACACACCCCTTCTCAGAAATCTGAGGAGCCCAGCACTCTGGGGAGCCCAGAGACAGGCCTCTGGGAGGTTAAGGGCACACAGCCACCTGACAGGCAGCTGTAGGCAGCCAGGTGTGGGGCCTTGGCAAAAGGCCTCTGACCATGAGTTACCTCAAAGCGTGGCGCTAGAGCCCAGGACTGGCTGGGCCTGGCAAGGTGCTGGCTGGAACTGGAGCAGGCCCTGGCCAATGCCTGGCTGGCCTCGGGGGATGAAGGACCTTGTCCCAGGCCAGGCAGGGCCCCGGAGGCTCTGTTCTGGGCCAGCCAGCAACAAAGGCTGCCACTGCTCTTAACGCCCAGCCTCCCGGGTCCAGAGCAGGGGCCACCAGTGCTGCTTGTCCTGGAGCTGCCACAGCAACCAGGACCCTTCCCACCCAGCCCAGAGACAGCTGTCTCACTGGAGAGGGGAGTGGCAGTTCTAACAACCAATATTTTCCTGCTGAGAAACACCCTCCTGGGAGTTAGCACATTGACTCCTAATGACACGTGGGGAGGTGGGAATTTTAGCCTCCAGTCTACAAGGGAGGAAACTGAAGCCACAGGAGTTAGGCACTGGTCAGGCGTGCAGTGCATGGCAATGTCCAAATGCTTTCCCTTGTATTCTCTTATCACAGGTCTCAGCAGAGAGGCTGGCCTGTTGTTTGGTGCCTGGTATACAGGCACAGAAACTGAGGCTAGGAAAGATGGAGGGCTGGCAAGTGTCTGTCCCCCAGGGAGGGCAGAAGAGAGATGCCCTTGGGGTTCTTTGGGACAGCCTCCAGGCAGAGGACCCACCAGGCGCGGGGGACTGTCACTCACACTGCCCACGCCTCCGTTCCTTGAGTAAGTATTGAAAGAATCCTCTAAGCCAGGAAAGCACAGGAGTCTGTGCTGGAACAGTGGAGGCAGCGAGGCTGCCAAAGCCAGAAGTAGCGACTAGTACTGGCTTTGCTCAAGCCCAACTTCTCCACGCAGCTTGCCTTGCCTCTGCTGGAAAGGAAAATCAGGGCAGACTTCCTGGAGGAATCAGACTTGAACAAAGTCTTTAAAAAAGAGACAAAGAGGAAAGGCATTCCAAAGTCATGGTCTCTCCACTACGTCGAGATTACCAGGCGGGTGATAAAGAAGCCGGGAGAGGGAGAAGTGCAAACCACAGATGAGACTGGGAACTGATTCAACACCAGAGAAGGGTTGCCTCTGCTCCGGGGGCACAGGGAAGCTGGTGAGGGCGTGGCAGCCACCAGCGAGTTTATGGCTGGCAGGGTGGGAGGAAGCATTGTCTGCTAGCTTGGCTTTCTGGGTGGGCAGGAGGCAAGTTGATCGGCTAGAAGAGTGGGGTTCCCCACCTGAACAGAGTGGGGGAAGTTGAAGGAGGCCTTAGAAGAATGGGGAGACAGCCGCCCAGGGGCGGTGTAAGGATTGCGGAATAGAGCAGCGACCCTGCTGAGGCCAGAGACCACGGACTTGTCATGGCAGCGGTCTGCATGGCTGGGCGAGGGTCTCCCGCAGTGCCCAGCAGTGCAGATGGTAGGCAGAGGGTGTGAGCAGAGTGAGAATGGAGAGACGCAGGTGTGTGGTGGGTAGGGAGAAAAGAGAGCCAGGACAGGGGGGCACTAAAGTGAGATGCCAGGGCATCTGGCTGGAGAAAGTAGGGTCAAGCCAGGATGGCTGGGAGAACAGAAAGGGGAGGGGTGGCGGTTACTGTGACTGAGATGGGGGAAGGTGGGTGGCCAGAGCCTGTGATCAGAGCTGGGATGTTTCACTGGAAGATTTCAGAGGGCCCGGTCCCAGGTGAGAGTAGGTATAGGACTAAGAACAGGCAGCTGAAAGGAAGCAGATAGGAAAGTCACCTGCCTCCAGGAGGTCAAGAAGCCGGTGAAGCCCTAGCTGGTTGGGCTCAGTGGATAGAGCTTTGGCCTTTGGACTGAAGGGTCCCGGGTTTGATTCTGGTCAAGGGCACATGCCCAGGGTGCTGGCTCGATCCCCTGTGGGCAGGAGGCAGCTGATCAATGATTCTGTCATCATTGATGTTTCTAGCTCTCCCTCCCTCTCCCTTTCACTCAGAAATTAATAAAAACATATTTTTTAAAAAAAGAAAAGAAAAAGCTGGTGAAGCGTAGCCAACCCAGCATTGGGGCCACCCACTCCTCCCACTTCTTCACCCCCCCCCCCAAACAGCCAATAAAAGCACAGACTTACAAGAAGCAGAAGGGAAGCTTTTATTCACTCATTCATTCAACAGTTATTTATTGAGCACCTACTATGATCAATCCCCGTGCAAGATACTGCATGTAGGGATGA